TTTCAAAGTGGGCTCCCCCTGGACCTGCTGGCTGCAGCTGATACGTCCCAGAGAAATGGGCCAGTCCCCAGGCTGTGCTTCATTTGCGCTGGATCACACTGGAGAAACGGCTACAGCCCACCGTGTTCTGACTGTGGTCTCAGCAGTTACACTATGTGTGGAGCCCAGGGAGTGCCTGATGTGGAGTCCCGTGTGTGTTGTGACTGCATTGAATGCTTTTGCTGGAATGGTATTTGTTTTGCTTAACATTGGCTGCTATTTCAGACTAAAATGGTGCTGATGGTCTTGTGCAAATGGGTCAGTTAGTTTTCAATGAACTATTATGTGTTGTGCACAAGAACCAACGTGATGGCTGTATTCTGTGTTCTTGCAGTATATTTTGATAATAATTCTCTTTTTCGTTGTAGTTCTCTCTGCCTTAATTGAAGTCACGACTGTGTGAGTGCTTCTGAGCTGTATATCAGTCATTAATATATGTAGTATTTTATGAATTTAGGGAGCTAAGGAAAACTAGCTTTTTTCTCTTTTCTCATAGACAGAATTTTGAACATTTCTACAGAAAAATGTTCCTGCCTGCTTGGAACAACACTCTTAATTGTCATGTGAAACTAGCACTTCCCTCCATTGCTGTGTCAGTGTCCAGATTTATGTCAGCATTCATTACTGCGAGAGAGATTCTCTGAGCCAGCATTGTGTGGGTGTTCACAAAAGTGCATGGGTGCTATGTCGTCAAGTGAGTGCCAACTGTTTGCAGGTATAGAGCCCTCTTGTCTTTGTAGATATCAGGTTATTTGAATCAAGTGATATTTGCTTAGCTATTTATACATTAGATGTCTAAAAAGACATTTCTCTAAGAAGCAGCATTCATCGTTTGCTGTTTGCTTGATCAGATGACACTGACATTCTTATTGTGTAATCATAAAACAGCTAATTTTGTTGTGTTCAATGCCAGGAGCAGATGCACTTCCTAATAGAGACAGCCTGCAAAGCCCAAATCTAGATGCATTATTTAGAAGCACATTAAAATCTTGGGTTTTTTTGTGATTTAAAATAGTAATTGTGGTTTGCATTGTGTCCGATTTTCAGAAAATGCATGAGAAGCAGAAATTGGTTCCATGAGTAGTTTGAGAGACAGTAGCATGCAGAGAGGTGCAGTGTGTCCCCCAGGCACCCGGCAATCTGGGCTCAGGTCTTGCCTCTGTCACTGACTAGCTTTGGGCCTTGGGCAAGTCTAACCTCTCAGTGCTTTCATGTCTTCCTTTGTAATGTGGTGCTGAAGTGATAATGGTACATACCTCTGAGGTTGTTGTATGAATTACTAAGTCAATACACATGAAATGCTGGGAACTTACCTGGAACCCTAAAGACAAGCGATACTTGGGAGGGCAGTGGTGCCGCTTGCTTCTCCTGGGGTCAGCTCCAGCCTTTGAAAGTCAGTCTCTGGCCTCCTGACCATTGGTGACATCTGGGGAGTTCCTTTGGGGCATGGTCGCTTCCCTGGGAGTTTGGACCATATTTAAGTAGGTGCCCAGGTGGGAATGTGTAAATCCAAGTGTCATGTCACAGCAGTGTATAAGTGAAGGACCTTAGTGAATGCCATAGAAAAAATAAACACAGATGAACGTTTAATAGAAACAGAGAGTAAAGAAGCATAAGGACTGACTTCCAGTCCTGGAGGATGATGTGTGGACACTGTTGGCGCCATTGGGGCTCTGTGCCATGGAACCCACGTCCCATCCTGTGTGCCCTCTTGGGCAGCTTGCTTGTCCTCAAATCTGTATCCTCTAATTTTGTGAACCCATCCCATGTCAGAGCAACTCTTGGCACTCCCAAGGCCTCTGGCTGGTTTCCTGATACCTCTTTTCCCATCCACCATGGCAGTACCAGTTTGGAATGTTCTGGAATGCCCTCTCCTCCCCAGACCATACCCATCCGTCAGAGCCCACTGTGCCTCACTTACAGGTGTCTTCCCAGCTGCCTGCCCGACCCTGGCTCCTGGCTCCTGGCACGACTTTGTTGCTCAGTCATTTGGGGTACTAAACCCTCAAAGCTGCATACTGTGGGGCACGGGAAAGGTCCTACCTTTTCCTGCAGTTTATCCTGACTCCCCTCTTCCCACACTGAGCCTTCCTGGGCTCCAAAGCCTTATGTTCCCTAACATCCCCAAGTACCCGTAAGAGTCAAGGTAGGCCAGAGCCTCACATATGTGCGGGGGATGGGTGAGGCGTGAGGGGGACTGGTGAGATGCAGGGAGGTGCCTGAGGGTGGGTGGGGTGTTGGGGAGCCAAGGAGGGTGGAGGCTAGAGGACATTGGGGGACCCGGTAGGCAATGAGGGGATGAGTGAGGCATGGGGGCACGGGGTGGAGGTGGGGCAGGTACCTCCCTGCCTCCATTCCTCCATGCCTGCTGCAGCTGTCCCAGAGGCCATTATGTGCAGGAATGCTCCTGTCCTGAGGCCTGGGGCCCTGGAGCTCCAGGTCAAGGCCAATGCCCGTGCCCCAGGGGCAGTGACAGGATGGGAGTGCAGGCAGGATGGGTCGGGGAGCCATGGGAGAACAGTGGCTTTTAGAGCAGCCAGGGGCGGGAGTCAGTTAAAGGGTCTCCTGGGCTGGCAGGTCCCAGCAGGGTTGTTGGGCATGAGGAGGGCTGGATGAGGGGATGTGGGGAGGGGGGCAATCTGGGATGCGAGAGGATGTGGGGAGGGCCAGGACACTGACCGTGTGGGGGTGGCAGACCATTTGGGGTGGCTATGGTTCCGTTTCAGGAGCCCACTGAAGATGTCTTCACAGCTTTGTGAACACTAGGGACTGAGATTGTGACTGGGAGGTGATTGCATCTGCAGGTGACAGTTCTCCCCTGGTGGGGGTTCACCATAGGGTCTGAAAAGCCTTGGAACAACAGTGCCATACCGATGGCATTTGTGCTCTGCATTGGATGTTGGTGGCTTTGGGAAGGGCTGAACCTGTGAAGGAGGAGGCCTAGGTGGAAGCCGAGGTGGACACGGGGCATGGTCAGGCTTCTGTGGGACAGGAGACACTGTGACTGCCCTCTGTGACCTGGTGCTTTTAAAATGTGCAGTAGTTGGGCATCAACCACAGTGATGGGAGCAAAGGAGCTAGCCAGGGCATCTCAGGAGTGCCCAGTGACGCCTTGTCCAGGGCAGGAAGGGACACTCGGCCATCAGGTCGTTCTCAGTAACAGTCAACAATGGGTAGGAGCCGAGACCCACTTGGGGCCCCACCAGATGGCATGTGTCCACTGGAGCATGGCTGTTCCAGGACATTGTGGGACTTGGATGGCAGATGGTCTCACACCTTGCCTGCCCCAGCTGCTGACACACTGCGGTCACTCGTCAGACTGCAGATGGCGTTGACGAGCTTAGCGCTACAGCCACAGAATGATACTGTGCTTCTGAGCCTCCTGCAGTGGACCCAGCCAGAGAGTGTATTTTTTATTTTTTGTCGATTTTTTTTTCCTTTCTTTATTGATTTCAATAATTTTAGGGGTGCAAATGGTTTCTGGTTACATGGATGCATTGTGTCGTCTGGGCTTTAAATGCACCCTCTACCCGCACCTATGCACGTTGTATCCATGAGGTGATTTTTCATCCCTCCTCCTTCCCCCTCCCCCTTCTTAGTCTCCAGTGTCCATTACCATTCTTTTTGTCTTTGCAGACCCTTAGCTTAGCTCCTGCTTATAAGTGAGACGGTGTTTGGTTTTCTGTTCCTGTGATGGTCTTAGGGTGATGGTCTCCAATTCCATCCAAATTGCTGCTGAAAACAGCATTTCATTCTTTTTCATGGCTGCATAGTATTCCATGGTGTATATGTGCCAAATTTTCATTATCTGCAGATCTGTTGCCGGGCATTTAGGTTGTCTCTCCATCTTTGCAACTGTGAATTGTGCTGCATTGAACATGCAGGGGCAGGTGTCTTTTTGTTTAATGATGAAGGGAATGTTGATAGGTGACTCAGGAGAGCAGTGGAATGGGGCAGGGCAACGGCCTCTCAGGACACACTGTTGCTAACTGTGGAGAATGAGTTTTCTCTATGCAAGCTCGGTTCTCCTTCACAAGAGAGATGCAGTTTCAGCGACCCTCCTAGTCTGGAGATGCTGAGCACCCTGTGGACCTGGGGGCGGTGCCTGCTGGTGTTGTCTACCTTGTGCATAGCTCACTTTCTCTTGTCCATTCTATCTGCAGCCGGTTGAGCGTCTCTTAGGTCCAGGCCTGGGCTGGGGTGATGAAGACTCTAGCGATGTCTCAGCACTCACACCATAAACAGGTCTCAGTTTTGGCAGAATTACAGATGAGACTTTGTCTAGGTGTTGGAGACTCACAGGCAATCCATTTGGCCCTGTGCCTGCATAGGCCAGGACCTCCCTGCCATCCTGGAGCCATCAGAGCCTGCCCTGAGTGGTCTCATCAGTGTCTTGCACGAGCCCTGGCTTCTCCTGGCTTGATTTGACTGTTGTTCTTGGTCCTGATTTTCTTTTCTTTTCTTTTCTTTTTTTTTTGAGTTAGAGTCTCACTCTGTCGCCCAGACTGGAGTGCAGTGGCTGCTCCCGGCCACCGCAGCCTCGACCTCCTGGGCTCCAGCGATCCTTCTGCCTCAGCCTTCCGAGTAGGCGGAATTATAGGTGCACACTACCACGCCTGGCTAATTTTTTGATTTATTGTAGAGATGAGGCCTCACCTGCCCAGACGGGTCTCGAGCCCGCGGGCTCAAGCAATCCACCTGAGTACCTCAGCCTCCCAAAGGCGCAGGATTACAGGCTGAGCCACCGAGCCTGGCTGGTCCTGATTTTCTAACACGCCTTTTTGCCAGTAGGCATTGCTAATGTATTCCAGGTTGCAGGAAACCTCCAGCTTCAGGCTCCAAGACCTGGAGAAGGTGTGATTTCTCAAGAAGATGTTGTGTGTAGCAGTGTGTGTGTGTGTGTGTGTGTGTGTGTGTGTGTGTGTGTGTGTGTGTGTGTGTGTGTGTGTGTATGTGCAGTTCTGTCTGTTGGTTTTCCTTTGAATACAGGCCACCTTTGCTGGCCACTGAGAATAAGAGGAATAGCAGCAGTATAGGCCATGGAATGAAGGCATCATCAAGGAGGTGTCCCTGAGCTTCCTGTCGTCATTGGTGTCTGATAGCAGCACTCCCTCCCATTCCCCAGCATGTAGGTTGAGGCTTGGATGTCAGCAAGTGATTATGTTTATGTTCATGTTTCCAGAACCCCAGGAAGGACGAGCAGCGCACCCTTCAGGCTTGCAGTTCTGTCATCACAGCAGGCTCATGAGGTGTCACCTGCTTCTGCACACAGTTCTCCAGCAAGTCCAGCACGGCAAGGTGCACCCCTCCTTAAATACCAGGCCTGCTTGTGTTTGTCATGGGTCTGTTCCTGTGTTAGGGTGAGAGTGATACTGTCTAAGAGCTGAATGTATCTCCCCCTCCTTTTTTGGTGATGATGGTGGGGAACTAGATGATACCTTCCTTTCCCAAAAGCATTGGAAATGGATACAGTGGCTACTGTCATAACTTCTGGTAAATTATGTCAGGACTGTAGAGAAAAGGGAATTCTTCACCTGTCTTGATGGTTCAGTATTGGGAACCTTTGGAAATAGAGAAAAATAGAAAAAATAAAATCCGTTATAGCTTCTGTGGTAAAATAAAAGTTCTGTCTTAAGGATTTCCCTTAAAGTCACACACTTATAATTATCGATGCCAGTACTGAGTGTGGCACATGCTTGCAGATGGCCGGAGTAGCAGCGGAAGCCAGTGGGTGGCATCAGTGTTGCCTTTTAGTGACTGTTCTGTGTTTCTTTGAAAAAGGCAAAAATGACTCAGTAAAATTGCTTTGGGAGAGTGGGAGACTAACGATACTTGGACACAGAATGTGCAAGGGTGTGGCTTAGAAAATGATGTCCTGGTGACGTGTGGAGCCTGACTGGGCCACTCCAGGTTGATGTGTGGTGAAGCTGGCCCCATGCCCCTTGGGGGTTCACGCCCTCCCTGGGAGGCCTGTGTGTTGCCTGTGGTCGTGGTGCTCTTGATGGCATGGTGTAGACTCTGCCAGGGCCACAGACTTCCATGACCTCTTAACGTGTACACACACTTCCAGGCCTAGAGCAGACCAAGTGTGTCCTAGGTACTTCCTGCAGAAGGCGTGGAGGAGGAGTAGGAGGCCTGGGGTGAAGGCAGACCTGGGTTGTTGTGGACAAACCTCAGATGACTCTGAGTTTGAGCTTCTGTGTCCCAGATGGTTCACCTGCTATTAACCTCAACATCCTAAAAGCTAAGGCTGAGACGTCCAGAGCTGTGGGATCTGCTGAATATTGGCATTATTTCTGTCAGACAGTCTTAGTTTGTGGCCGTGCAGTTAACTTTGGAAAGAAACAATTTGTGGTATCTTTTATAATATTTTGTAAATAAACTTGGTTAACACTTAAGGCCAGGCCAGGCATGGTGGCTCACGCCTGTAATCCCAATGCTTTGAGAGGCCAACGCAGGAGGATCGCTTGAACCCAAGAGGTTAAGGCCAACCTGGGTAACATATTACTGTATTTTTATATTGTTGGTGTAAAAAAATGAACAAGTAAAATTGCCTTTTTTCTTTGGCGTATAGTTCTGTGAGTTTTAACAGTTATGTGGATTTGTGTAACCTCCTCCACAACTCTCCTACCTCCTCACAAATTCTTTTGTGTTATACACTGCCCCCTCCCCAACCCCTGCCATGAACACTGATCTGATCTGTGTCCCTCTTTCCCTGGGTGATGTCATTTGTGTGGACACATGCAGTAGATCACCTTTTGAAGCTGACTTATTTCCCTCGATGTGATGCCTTTGAGATTCATCTAAGTTGTTGTTGGTGTGGGCAGTTAGTTTCTTTAATTGCCAAGCAGGATTTTTTTTGTGTGGGATGTACTGCAGTTTCTTCATCCAGTGTTCCTTTGAAGGACATTTGGGCTGTGCTAATGTGGCGTCTTACAAAAAAGTTGCTCTGGCATTTCACAATAGCAAAAATATGGAACCAACCGTGCTGCCCATCAAAAGAGGACTGGATTAAAAAAAAAAAATGTAGTACCTATACATGATGGAATATTACACAGCCAAAAGGGCAAAATTATGAACTTCACAGCAACTTGGATGGACTTAAGAGTCTATAATACTGAGTGATCTATCACAGTAACAAAGAACTAAGTACCACATGTTCTTACTCATAAGCAGACCTTGAGCAAATATCATAATACTGTAAGAAAGGGATTGGCAGTAATGGGAAACTGCCGGAGTAGCGGGTGGGATTGGCAATAGTGGGAAACCCTGGGGGAGGGGGCACACCTCATCAACAAGGCTACCTGCATAATGAACATTTGTATACTAACCTTGAATTGTACTCTACATTTTTAAAATAAAAAATTTTTTTTAAAAAAAGAAAAGATGCTCTGAACTTGTGTGCTAAAGTCTTTGTATGGACATGTGCCTTCCCTTTCCTTGGGACACTGGAGGGTCTTGCTGGATTACATGACAAATGTGCACTTCACACCGTTGAGGAGGCTTCACACCATTTTCCAGAGTCGCTGTGTCATCTTGAGCACCCACCAGCGATGTCAGAGTGTCAGGTGGGGGCTCACTGCAGCACTTGCTGTTGTCAGTATTTTAAATTTTTGTTTTGCTCATCTGATAGGTTGTGGTGGTATCACACTGTGGTTTTAATCTGCGTGTCCCTAATCGGTAATTATGTTGAACACTTTTTCATGTACTTACTTGCCATTTGTTTTTGATGAAGTGTCTGTTCAAGTTTTTTGCCTATTTTTAAATTGGGTTCTTGTTTTATTTTGCATTTTCTGGCTACAACTTCTTTGTTGCTTATGTAATTTGCAAATATTTGCCCCAGTATGTACAAAATATATATACTTTTAGTAGTATCTTTCTTGGAACAAGAACTTTTAATTTCAAAGATGTGCTGTTCATCTTTTCTATTTTTTTTTAATGCATTAAGGATGATGTCTAAAAACTCTTTACCTAACTCCATGTTATAAAGATTTTCTTGTATGTGTTCATCTCAAAGTTGTGTGGTTTGACATTCAGATATATATGACTTATTTTGAATTAGTATCTGCATAAAGTCTGAGGTTTTCCTTTTTTGCATATGGATATTCAATTTTTCTGACACTTTTGTTAAAAAGACTGTCTTTTCTCCACTGAGTTGCTCCTGCACCTTCACCAAGAGTCACTTCATTCCATGTGCATGTGTTGATTTCTCCATTACGTCCTGTTTCCCTGGGATTCCCCCTTGCAGTCTTCCATCCACAAAGATGGGCTTCAGAATGGGGGTTCCCTTCCTGTGATGGCTTATGCTCCGGGCCGGGAAGCAAGAAGACAGAGAAGAAAGGCAACGGGTGTTCGCTTGGGTGTTCGCTCCTACACCCAAGTGAACACCCGTTCCCTTTTCCTTGGAGCCTAGGGGATTGTGGTCCCCAGCAACTGCCGCCACCTTGGTATTGCCCTGCCTGGGAAGTGAGAGAAGGAAAAGAAAGGAGAAAAGATGAGACTCTTTCTTCCAGGTGCAGGACTGTGCTTTCTTGCTTCTCAGAGGGGTCACTCTTCTGTCCCCAGCTGGCTGAGACCAGGATGGGGGGTTCCATGGGAAACAGTGGGTGACTTGGTCAGCACGGTGCTGCAGTGACACTCGGCCTTCCTCCCTCAGAGCCTCACATAGCTGCCTTGGTAGTCCATCCCAGCAGCAGTGCTGTGCCCGGTGGAGTGGGATGACATGCTCTTCCTTCATCCTCCCCATGGCCAGTACCCCTCAGTTTTAAAATATGAAATCTAGAGTAATGTTTTTGCAAGTTGCATAAGTTTTGAAGTAATAGGTATTCGTTTCTCTTGGACATAAAAAAGAAAAGCTGTGCTATCTTGACCAAATTGACTTACATTGTATGAAATATGAGAACAAAATAGAAACCTTCCAGCTTTGTGGAACCCTATGCTAAAATTACAGGGGGCCCTTTTCTTCTCCCCCTTCCAAAAAATTATTCATTTAAGGTAAGCGTCTTAATAACAATGCAGCTTTCTATCCAGTACTGTTTGATTTTAGGTGTAGAAGCACTTGGGGCACCTGTGGTTGCTCACCGTTTGGTTCACCTAGAGTTTCTTTTTTTCTACCAAGAAGTGTCAAATTTCAAGCCCTTAACATCCAGTTCCTGAGATGCCTTTGAGATGTGAGTTGATTCCTTTTCACTGTGAACCCCTTGCATAAGCCTTAAGGGAATTAGAAAACACAGAGAGGGCTAACAAACAAAGACTAATGATTAACATATTCATTCTCTACTGACTTTTAAAAAATACCGACTAAATTATCCAGACAGCTGGTGAAAAACAGATATAGTTTAGTGGATTCCTTGTGGAAATGACATGGTCTAAAAATTAGCTAATTTATTTAGTCATTATTTATCAATAGAAAACCATTAAAAATTAATGAGGGGGAAATAACTTTAGGTGACCATAAATTTCTTGAAACCCACCCCAGTAGGTCATGTAAATGGAGTCACAGCTGGATGTAGCAGTAAAAAATTAGGAAGGCCAAGTTTAAGGTAATTAAAAAAAACTCACTTGGCACTGCAGTATAGAAATGAAAGGAAAATATCAAGGTGAAAGGTTGTGGATAACCCTGTGACCCTCTTGCTAGATACTTCTTGATGGTAATTCATTGGTATTTTTATACTTTTAGCATCTATTTGCCACCTAATGGCATATGTGTAAGGTCTTGAACACTACCCTGCTGGCGTGTACTGTGCTTTTGCTACTTAAGACTGGTAATGTTGGGGCCATTGATGGAGCTCTGGGCCAGGCGTTGTGCTGAGCCCTCATGCAGGTCCCCTGTTTCATCCTCTCCAGGACCTGCAATGCTGCCTTGAGACACCAAGGAGCTCACACTCAGAGGAGGGTCCATGGGGCTCACGCTCAGAGGGTTCACAGGGCTCACACTCAAGGGATGCTCCGCAGAGCTCACATTTCGGGGAGAGTCCACGGGGCCTGGCTCTGGAGCCTTTGCTGTTAATCCTTGGGCTGAAGGACCCCCTGGGTGAAGGAGTAAAGTTCTGGGAGGGAAGGGATTGGGAAGACCAAGATAAATAGTGAAAATTGTGCACTTTTGTGAAAGTGAATAGTGTTTTGACTACTAATGTAGAAGCTTCAAAAATCGAGTGCTAGGTTTAGGGATCACCCAGTTTAAATATAGAGAGAATGAAAACTGGCTCAGTTTCAGGGTTTGCCATGGCCTCAGAACATCTCTCCTGTCAGTTTTTCATGTCCGTGTGGTGTGAGTATCCACTTCTGTCATTCTTCCC